AACTGTGTCTGTACATTAAGAAATTCGAGAGTTCCCCATCTCTCTCCGGGAAAACAGTTTGTACCCACTTTGATGTTCCACAATATCCAACGGTTCCAAATTCCAAATCCCCAAGTCCTCGCCGGAGCCACGACAAATCACCGACGCTGATGGGTATCGCCACCACTTCCGCCGCCGCCGTTGCAGATGGCGACTCTGAATCAGCCACTCTGTTAATACCCAAAACATCGTCCACCAATCCCCAGAAGATCCCCAAAGACAATTTCAACATGGCCTACATAATATACTTCACACTGGGGGCAGGCTACCTTCTACCCTGGAACGCATTCATCACTGCCGTTGATTACTTCAGCTATATATACCCCGATGTCTCTGTTGATCGCGTATTCGCCGTAGTGTATATGCTGATAGGGCTTATGAGCTTGCTTTTCATAGTGGCATTTGCTCACAAATCGAATTCATTTGTGAGAATTAATGTGGGAATGGTTCTATTTGTGATCGCGCTCTTGACGGTGCCTTTGATGGATGTTTGGTACATAAAGGGAAGAGTTGGAGTCTATGTTGGATACTATGTGACGGTAGCAGTATTGGGGCTGTGTGGGGTTGCTGATGGATTGGTTCAAGGAAGTGTCGTTGGGAATGCTGGGGAGTTGCCTGAGAGGTACATGCAGGCTGTGGTAGCTGGCACTGCTGCTTCTGGTAAATTTTATGGTTTTTTGGTAATATTAGGAGATCATCCATACCTTTTGGTTTTTATGGGGGTTGCTATTTGCGGATTAACTGATTTGATTTTAGTCAAAAATATGAAAAAGCTCGGATTTTTTGCCTTGAAATGTTGCTTTTATCTGCTCTTGCAATTTTTTTTCCCCTTCCTTCTGTTTTTCCTTGTGCAAATGGTATTTTACCCGTTAGCCGCCGGGGTTGACTTTCTTCTGCCGAATTGGTTTTCGTGGCTTTTGGTACTGGCTGTTAGGTGGGATTTGAATTAAGAAGATTAAAGAAAATAGAAAATCTTTGGAAATATTGGTTGTTAGATCTGCACGTTCCTTTTGAGATAAGTTTAGACTAAGATGGCTAGCTTTTTCTTCTTAAACACGTGAACTGAATAACTTGTAATGTTTTATCATTGTTTTACCGTTTAGTTGTACTTATGAGGGGTTGAAAGTTCTAGGAATTTATTGATTGGTTGTGGATAGAAGCCCTGCATGTTCAATATTTTGACGTCAAATCTATCAATAAGTTTTGTTGAGGCATTCCTAATTAGTGCCAAAGGAATGTCTTACGCCACTCAGGAGTTAATTGCTGCAAACAAGGAACTGCATTCAAGTTTGCACCCTATCTGTATCTTTGCTTCTCACTTAGACCAATACCAGTTGTTGATATATAACGATCAGCCAATCCTTGTGCTGTGCAGCGATATCAGAATTTTCAGCAACATTAACTGAAGTGTGATATTATTTTATTTATTTTTACTTATTTGTCTGCTCTTAGACGGCTGTTGCTTGTTAGTTGGGACGTAATTTGATATTTCAAGGATCAGAGCTGATCAACTTCGTCCATGGTTTGTGCCCAATTATCTTTCAAGAAGTGACATCATTGCTACCTCCTCCTTGACTCCTAGTTTTACTACCAATTATCTTTCAAGAAGTGACACCATTGCTGCCTCCTCCTCAGCTCCTAGTTTTACTAACTAGTGATTTCTCAAGATGTTTATGTGACTTGCATTGCTTCCTTTCAGTCTTTTTTACTCGTTTGCACATAATGATGGAAAAGAAATGGTATGCCAGCCTTCAAAAATTTGACAAATTTCTCTACACTTCATGCAATTTAAATTTTGACTGCAAAAAAAAATCATTTCATACAATAAATTCCT